TTTAAACTTTGTTGAAGGCATCTTCTCCACGCTCATTGCACCAGTTTTTTGTGATCACAAACGATACATTCCAACAAATAAATATTGAGAAACAGAGTTCTTGGATGAACAATGAAAACGGTTAGAAAAAGAGAGAAAGAAGAAAGGATAAAGAAAAAAGAAGGATAATGATTATGGCAAATTATTTACTATTCATTTTCTCATAAGGATTTATAAATGATTACAAATGAATATCACAATTGGTCTCACTCAACAACCTGAGTGATCTAGCCTATTTATAGACTAACTAGATAACTTATAATACAAGCTAACTAGATAATTAGATCCTTAACACAAGGCCCAATTCGATATAATAAGTCAACAATATATTTCGATATTACATACTAGAACTATCTTCGACTACAGTATGCAACCCTTCGACATCAGCATGTGACCCAGATTCGACTTCATGCTTGTCTCCTATCGAAATACATGAAAGTTATTCCTCGACATATCTAGAGTTCAACCAAAAATCTCACAGACACTTTGGGGAAACTCGATCGAGAATCGTCACCAAATGAAGCATTTTCGAATACTCATCCGAGTCATACGTGAGGAGATCGAGATTGAGAGGTCACCCCCTCTCACAGAACACACCAACAACCTTCAAGAAATGATGGGTATGCTGATTTGGTGAGTCGACTTGGTGGACATAGAACATATTTCCAAGAGTCGGGTTAAGTCCATGAAACCATTTGCAGCAGAGTAAAAATGAGTTAGAGAGCTTCGGCTAAGGTCGTCAAAGGGGTGCCAGAGGTGAGTTTGTCCGTTTAAATCTCTACTGATTCTGATCAACTAGGAGTGATGGCGAGTTCGTTTGTGTTATAGTGGTTTGATGAGAAAGATGTGTTGTTTGGAGAGACAATGATCATGATTGATTTCACACTCGGGTAATTTGGGAAGCTTTTATAAGGAACGAGAATGAGAGTTTGGGATCAAAGAAGATCGCCACAAAGAACAGGTAGAACGAAAACAAACAAGGTGGATTTCACTATACTTGAGTTTTTCGGAGATAATTTCAAGAAGTTTCTTTGGAAGTTGCGACCAATCGGCGATGGACAGGGTTAAAAGACCCTCAACCCCCCTTTAGATCTACTTCTACTGAAGCACTCAAGATTCATATTTCTCATCAAGCGATAAGTATTTCAGAGAACCGTAGGATGATGAAGATTTTTGAGAAAATGAGTTAAGCAAAATAAGTACACCAAGGTCAAGGTGGATAAGAAGTTAAGACTTCAGACTAAGGAGAGGGAAGAAGATTGTTCATATGAAAGCAACAAAACAAAGAAATGATGTGGTATTGGGGAATTCGGATCTGCTCTAGTCCTAATTTCCTCCAATTTTCCAGTTATTCTACTGATGTATGACATGTGGCTCAACACTAAATCAACGGTTCAAATTAAAAATGAAAATTAGATAAAAATTCAGCATTTTATTGTGTTTTTAGCTCATATTTGCTTTCTTTGACGAACCATTTTCTTCGTTCTTTAAATTTTTCTTACATTCAGATCTATCTTTTATTCTTGTATTATCCACCATTTTCTTGCTTGTTTGTTATCATTGGCATTTTGTTTGCACCTTACTCGATTCCTCGCTGCATCCATCAATAACTTTCTATTTTGTTTTTTTTTTGCTGCTATGGTATACATGTGTCTCTATGGTAAACAAAGTGATAAACATGCTAAGTTTGGAAAGGAGATCCATTCAAGTTCCTTAAAAAGGAAAATATCAAAATTCCAAACTTCAAGTCCATAGCATCCATGTTCATATCAAGACTTCAAATTCTAATCCCAAACTTCAAGTTCATCGTTCACCATTTGAAGTTCAAGTAAATTCCTAGGAACTAAAGAGAAAAATTGTGAAGTTCCTCTTACAAGGGCCGCCACAACTTCGTCAGCTTCAAGACTCCATTACCCTTGACCGCTTCCTCTTCAGACCCCTCATCTAAGCCTCCACGCCAAGACGCTCTGGCCCAGAAATCCATCTTCATGTCTTGCCCTCACCTCAAGCATCACACACGCATGAAAATAAGAGAAGAAGAGGATTATCAGAGTAACATATCATGAAAGGATACAACAACCAGATAAATTGAAGTCCATTCACACCAAAATTCACAAAATGACCAGTTCTAACAACAACAACATATATCTGTTTCTCTACATGGGGTTGCTCCACATTGTAATCCTTTACCTTGCACTTCAAACTCAACCTTGTGCCAAGTCCTGCCATATTCAAAATTCCTCCAAAGGAATTACATGAAAATAGAAAAATAGAGTGATCAAAACTTAGGCTATCCTGAAGTCATGTGATAACAGCAGCAAATTGACATAATCAAGTAAGTTATTACACAATCAAACTTGTTAAAATAAAAAGAAAGAGACAAGAAGAATTGAGCATGTTCCAAACATGTATAGTTTAAAAAGGAAAGGTTATAAACCACACATTCATGACCTTAATCACACAGGACAACCAGAAATCATAGGTTCGGTATACTTCCGAAACAGAATTCGACAACCTTGTCTCACTCATTCAAACCGACATCAAACATTCCAATCTTTCCAAAACAATCCGAACATATAGAAACAAAAGAGGAAAGAAATTCAAGATGATTCCCAACATGTTTTGATTTATTTCCAAAACAGTTTGCAACAATTAACAGCTCTCAACAGAAAAGAGGATATACAGAGATCAACAGAAATACACAATTTTCGTTTCGGAGATATCACACACACTTGGTTTAGATTAGCGACTTGTCTTGATTTAGATTGTGTTATCCCTTTCTGATTTATAGTATAGAGGAGATTTTAAGGCACATCAAATCGTGATTCATATAGTAGAGAAGGAGAGGAGCAAAGACGCGTATGTATCATGACGGATATTGGTGTGTTAGTTGATTTCATGAAATCGGCGTCCTTTCTTCTTGAGGCGTTTGGGCTCTTAGGCCCATTTTCCTAATTACCACGCCCCAATCTCTCTTGCACATCCCCCTTGTTAAAACCCAAGCCCATTTATCTTTGTACCTTGCATTTTCTTGTTTTTTTTTTTTTTTTTTTTTTTTATGATTCTCATTTCTAATTAAGAGCGTTCAATTAGATCTTGGAACTATTTTAGAAATTAATGATTTCTTGTTTCATTTGGATGATAGTTTTGGTTAATATTAGATTTACCGAGTTTAATTTTGAGTTATGTTAAAAATCGTAATTTCAAGCTTGATCCTAGTTTGGTGCAAGTTTGGATCATAATAGTAATCTTAGTATTAATTTGTAGTCGGAAATCTCGATTTACAATTAACTTTTGGTCCATGAAGTACGAATAGTTCTTAGAAGCTTGTGATTAGTATTTTCCATGTTATTGTTAATGATTTTTACTATAATACATTGCCCAATGTTAACTCGTGACGCTTGTTGCATATCAGTGGTTGTCTTCTTGTTTGTTGTAGTTTGAGTTAGAACATATGTCAATTGCGCTTGTTGATTTGTTATATGTTTGCATGTCATGTTCAATGGAAGAGTCTGTGTGTGACTTTATAAGTCATACGCACTACATCGTCATTTGCATCATTTGCCCCTGCTTGATCCCTGACTCCTTTCAGGTTGATCAGCTTAGGATACGTCTTCATACTTTCAAGATAGATTCCCCTAAGTTTTCAACTGAGACAACTCATAGATTAAGATTTTATTCTCCCACAAGATATTTAGACGTGGTTCATCTTTGTAGTTGAGGTATAATTCTCCTACCCCATAACATAATCAAGAAAGATGTAGAATCATTTCCACTTAAGAGAGATATGTGGCATACTTGTCAATTATATATCTGAGTTGGAGCCCTTCTCTCAAAGCAATATAAAGACCGCCTCCTACATGTTTGTGGTGGTTAAGTCGAGTATTCTCCCTAAGATGATGATTTGTATCTTCTCCTAAAATTAATCAATAAACCTATCCCCTGGAACCTTGGCCACAGTCAAAAGTTACTCATCCTTTGAGGAGAACTACAAATGCTCTGATTCCATTCTCGTCAGGATACATAGGCACAAGATGCAACTTCAGCGAGCATACTTAGAAATAAACCCCTAGGTCTCTTACCCTTAGCTAACAACAATAACACAATTAAAATAAGAGGTTCTTGTAGAGTACTACAAATGCTTAGGATGCTAACACTTTTCCTAGGTATAACCAACCCCCGAACCTTATATTCTCTAGCTTTTCATTGCATTGCGTTGCATACTCGTGGATTATTCAATCGTTTTCCCTTCCCTTGGATAAATTAAAGACTGATGGTGAATAATGATTTACGATTCAAGTTAATCAATAGCTTGATATCCGATTTCTCACCGTGATAGTGGTCCTATCATCTCATATTAAGACAAATTCAAAAGCAAAATGAAATACTAGTTGCGTGGCTCAGAATCAGATACAATCCCAGTTTGGAGTTTTTCACAAAAGTACTCTTTCTATCTCATAGTAAATAGGAGAATGTGTTTGTGTGCTTGGAGAATTTAACGCAATTAGGAGTGAAGAAGAAATAAGGGGCTCTTCAGAAAATAATAGAAAAGAGGAGACATAGGACTTTGTTGAGTTTATTACTAAAGCAGGTATGATAGATTTACTACTTTTTGGTAGAAAATTTACGTGGTACCGGAAGGAGGCACCGCCATGAGTCGTTTAGAAAAATTCTTAATATCAGATGAGTGGTGTAAGTTGTGGCCTAACTGCTCACATAGGGTGTTAGACAATGATCTTTCAGGTCATTGTCATATCCTGTTGTGTGATGTTGTCCAAAAGTGGGGACCAAAACCATTTTGTATGCTAAATTGTTGGAAGAACTTAGAAGGTTATCATAATTTTGTTAATGAGCATTAGATCGAATCGAAAGTGGAAGGATATGGAATGTTTGTCTTAAAGAAGAAGCTAAAAGCGATTAAAGGAAAATTAAAAGAGTGGCACAAAACACATATTCAAAATATGGAAGGAAAGATCAAGGCTGTCAAGGAAGAGATCAACAATTTAGACAAAATAGCAGAATCTAAAGTTGTATCGGCATTTGAGGCGAACAGGAGAAGAGAGTTATCAGCTGGAATGCACAAACTATTGAACCTCAACTGTAGTATTCAATGGAAGAAATCGCGTGTGAAATGGTTGAAAGAAGACATAAACTCCAAATACTTTCATGGATGTATTAACAATAGGAGGAAAAATAATGAGATTATGTCATTAAAGATCAATGGCAGAGTAGTGAAAAAAGATAAAGAGATCAAAAGAAAAGTTCATGAATAGTTTCAGAGAAAGTTTGAGAGCCGAAGGGTGAGGATAATACCTACCAACATAAACTTCAAAAAAGTGGTTGCAGTAGACAATGAAGGGCTGGTAAAAGAGTTTACAAAAGCGGAAGTGCGTGAAGCAATTTGGGGCTGCGATAGTTCGAAAAGTCCAGGTCCAGATAGTGTTAATTTCGGTTTTATAAAAGAATTTTGGGAGGTTATTAAAGGTGACTTTACGAGGATGTCGTCTGAATTTCACTCAAATGGTCGGTTTGTAAAAGGAGAAAACTGTTCGTTTATGGCCCTTATTTTTATGCAAAAGAACGTGACAAATATAAGAGAGTTCAAACCAATTTCTCTGGGAGGGTGTATATACAAATTCATATCTAAGATATTGACAAAAATACTAAAATAAGTGATCAAGTCTATCATTTCTGAGACACAATCAACATTCATTTCAAATAGACAGATTATTGGCAGGATCCTAGTTGCAAATGAAGTCGTGGAAGAAGCTAAGAGAAAGAAGAAAGAGGTGATACTCTTTAAGGTGGATTTTGAAAAGGCATATGACTCTGTGGATTGGAATTATCTAGGGTACATGATGGAAAAAAATGGGATTCCTAGAGAAATGGAGAAGTTGGATCCTAGTGTGTCTAAGCTCATCATCAGTTTTAGTGCTAGTTAGCAGAAGCCCCACAAAAGAATTCAAGATGGGTAGAGGGCTTAGACAAGGAGACCCTATTTTTTCCATTTTTATTCTTAATAGCGGTGGAAGGATTTAATGTCATGATGAATAAAGCTATAAAGATGGGGAAATTTACAGGATACAAGTTTGAGGAAGGTAATGACAGATTCACTCATTTGTAATATGCAGACGACACATTGATAATAAGAAAAAAAAGTTGGTCGAACATTCAGACCATCTAGGAAGTTCTTCTTTTGTTCGAATCAAATGTTTTGATTAAAGGTAAACTTCCAAAAGAGCTTGATTGTTAAGATCAATATTCCTCAAAACAGGATAGTAGAGGATCTTTAACTTAGCTTTACTAGGGAAATGGAAATTGAAAGTTAATATGGAAAAAAGGGGCATATGGTATACTGCCTTGGTAAATAGATATGACGTGAACATGCTAGAGTGGGATCCAGGAAGCTCAAAGTCATCAAGATGGTTGAATGATATTGTTCAAGTAGAAATAGGAGGGTTATAGTGTTTAAACTCATATTCAATCAAAGAAGTTTATAAAGGTTTAAGGGAAGTAAACAATCCAGTTCTAGAACCCTACTAGAATAAAATTTGAAACAAGGCGATTCCGTTAAAAATCTCCAGCTTGATGTGGATAATGCTCCATAACAAGTTTCTAACTAGAGACAATCTAGCCAAAAGAGGTGTAATAACTCAAGGGGAAGGTAAGTGTATATGTGAGTGCGGGAGGGAAGAGTCGGTTTCTCAACTTTTCTTTGAGTGTCCAGTTTTTGCAGGTGTGTGGAACTTCATTCACAAATGGATTGAAGTAGTTTATATTTGTCATAATATTGGTTGGCAGCACTTGGAACAATTCAAAAATATGCTTGGGGGAAAGGAACTCGATATCAAAGAAAGTAGTTGTGATTTAGTTCGCTTGCGTATGTTTAGGATTGATGGTTGACTGAGACACTGTTGTTGGTCAACTTCTAAGTTAATTCAAGTTTGGTTGGCTGTTTAGTTTCTTCTGTCCTATTTTGAGCAGTGTTGCTTGGAGTTTAGCTTATAGTGCACTTTTTGGGAGGTTCAGATGTGTTTTGTGTGGCTATGTTAATCGTGGTCGTGCTTTTCTTTCAGTTTGGCGTGTTTTTGCTTTTTTTCGGGGTTGGTTTTATTTTTTAGTCTGCTGCTCTAAGGTGTTCGGTGTAAGTAGCAGTTCAGTCTCTTAGAGCATCCACACTCATCAACCACATTTTGGTTCTTTAAACGGGACCCACATAATTTTTTATATTATATTACACTTCTATATTTTCTAAACAACTCAATTACATATTTAAAATATCCATACAACTCATTAAAAACTCTAAAATGGGTCCCACCAATTTCCAAAATAAATGTCCATATAATTATTGACCTTTGAAATATAATATTTTAATATTAATTGAATAGGAAAGTACAGGAAAGAAACGTTCTCAAATGTGAGAACGTATGCAAATGTAGGAACGTTTTTTTTTCTCAAATATCCATTTAATTCTGACATGATGACTTTGGAATATGTGTAGAAATAGTTTACATCCACTGATAATTATGCTCTTAGTGGTTCTGTTTTAGCAGCAGGTTGTATGCTCTTTAGTTCAGGTTATTGTTTTCTGCAATCTTGCAGATCTTGTATGTTTTTGTTTGTTGACAGTGATACATTTCAGCCTTGGGAGTTGGTGGTTTGTGTTATGACAGTTTGTGTGTTGGATGTAGTCTGCCTTGTTATGTTTATAGGCTTTGTTGCTTAGTCTTGGCCTTTTGGCTGTTTAAGTTTGTGTATTTTCTTCCTGGCTGTTTTGTATTGGTTAGGCATTGCTTATGCCTAGATGGTGTTTTAATGCATTCTTTTGCCTTTTAAAAAGAAAATAAAGAGAGAGAATAAAGTTGATTATTTCAAATATATCACATATATTTAAGAGTGAATAAATTGTTTACTATATCATCCTTTATCATGATGAAAGTAATACTAATAATTAAATGGTACAATTAAAAGAAAGTACCAATTTGCATTGTAAATTTAAATAGATAATAAATTTTAAGATATTTTATTATTGTAAATGATTTACTAATTGTGAAATAGAGAGAGTATTATCTTCTTTAAAATTATTCATTGAAATATACTTTCCCCACTTGAACCATGTTTTAAAAAAAATTGTTACTGAAAACTCACCCATTTCCTTATGTGGATATGTGTTTTTTTTATAAATATTTTTTAATTATCAACGGATTTTTATGTGTATTTTTTACAATTTTTTTTATTTAAATTTTACCTTTATGGAATTATCTGCTGATTTCTCAAATATATGATTTTGACTTAATTTATCTTTTAACCCCTTAACATAATTTATTGTTTTTATTTAATTCCTTAATAAAAAACGTTACTTTCCAATCCCTTAAAACACTTATGTTAGTCTAGCAAGTCTCTTATGTTAAATTCTATTGGAAAAAACGTCAACAAAAAAACGTCTACGTGGCATATTGAAAATATTAACATGGCATATTGTTTTTGTTTTTGCAATTATTGATAAACTTATTTTAATTTAAATTATGAAATATCAATTCTAACTTTAGAAACATTATTTATGAACTCTTCACCTACCAACAAAAGCAAAAATCTCTATCTAAACTCTTCAGTTTCGAACCTTAGGTCATTGTTCTACTTTCTCATAGTTTGAAACCTTAGCTGCGAAGAAGAAGACTTTGAGAGCGAAGACGACGATACTTGGAGTGACAAGGAAGGCGATAGTTATCTACTTTCACCATTTTTCATTTCCAAACTAAGGTGCGATTATGTGTTTACTATATTAAAATGAAAACCTTTATCATTTTCTTCTTCTTTAAAGACTCATTTCTGCATTATTTGGTGTGATTAGGTCGTCAGTGATAGGTTTGAGTGTGCTATCCATCATGGAGTGTGTTTGTTGAGTTTAACAGATTTGTTATAAGGGATTAGAGGAGGCGTGGGAAGTTGACCATAATTTTTGGAGTTATTTGAGGTTCTGGGTGGTTTAAAGGATTTAGGGTACCCAAAAGAGGAGAGTTTGTGGTATAATGTTGAAATGGATATTAATGAGCTAGTTTTATTGAACGATGATGCAGAAACAAATAGAATGGAAATGATAACACTGATTAATGGGAATATGCATTTATATGTCATGTATCCAATTTATGGGGAAGAGCCAATATTGTCTCTAGAAAACAGTATTAGACCCAATGGTGTAGAAGAAGACAATTTGGAAGATTTGAATAATGGTGTAAAAGGCACTTCTGAAGATTTGAGTACTCTAAATAGTTTAGAATATGACAATTTGGATGATTTGAATAATGGTGTAAAAGGAAATTTTAATGATTTTGGTACTTATGAAGATTTGAATAATCTAGGTTACAAGTTTAATGAAAGAGGGACCACTGGTGTAGAAGATACAAATGCAGTTGACCAATAATCTTCATGTGAGGATGTTAATTTGGATGGGACCACTGAGGGCATTGACCAAAAAGATTCATGTCAGGATGGTAATTTAGAGGGGTCCATTGTGTCTGAGGATGCAATAGTGAATATTACTTTGGAGGGGATCACTGATTATATGGTATGTGATAAAGAAGCTGATATATTGGATGGCACACCTTATCTGGTACATGTTAAAAAAGATTCAGTAGATAAGAGACTGAAATGTAACCAAAATGATGGTGGTGGTAGTGAAAATGACAGTGCTTTAAATGTGAACTTTGAGAATTCTAATGAGGATGTTATAGAAATTGGTGAAGAAATTGCATTTGATAAAGAGGATGACAAAAGAAAGGGGAAGGGCAAAGGAAAAGTTAAAGGAAAGAGGAAAGGAAAAGGTAAAGGAAAGGGGAAGGGAAAAGGAAAATGTAAAGGGAAGGGGAAATCCAAGTTTTAGAGACCAAGGAAACAAAGGGAGATGGAAGAAGCAGTTGAAGGTAGTGCTTCAATTGATGATGTGAATGAAGGTGAGGTTCCAAAGGAAAGCTTTAGAGGTTTGAGTGACATTGAGAAATATGATAGTTATGAGTTATCCCAAGAGTATGATAGTGAAGATGAAGATGTTTTAAAAGATGATTTTCAAACATCCAAGCTTCCAAAAAGAATGGAGGATTACAAGTGAGAATTAGGGATTTATTTTTCTACTAAGGAAGACTTTAAAGAGGCAGTTTAGGGAAAACCCTTGATCAACTATGAAAATTACAAGTCAATCAATTTAAGGTGGAGAGGAAAGTAGTAAGAATCCTGAGATGTCTTTAAATTCACATTTCCAAAGGATTTTATATATGCT